ATAATTATTTTTTTTCAATTCCTCCGAAACTTAAAAAGTTTCCTTTGAAACTTACTACAATTTCAATATTATGAACAATTTCATTCCGGATAGTAACGAATTAGCTCTTTCAGAACTCTCAATTAATTTTGTGTACTACCATAAATTTCACAACACCATTTTTATGGTGACCATCTCCTTCAAGGAGAAAATTATTATTATTGTCATGATTAAAATTATTACATGCAAGACTTATTTCTTGACAACCAATGACAAATTTGTGTTGCCACACAACAACATTTATTTCGATCATGGCCACAACCATTATAGAAAAAAAGATTTATTTCTTTCTTTTGTCCTCCAATAGTTCATAATAAAACATACCACAATATTTATGTAGTACTCAAAGTATATGACCAAAATGACTATTTATGTCAAATATTTCCTTTCAATCTCTCAAACCTCCTGTAGAGGTGAGATGTGACATTCATCCAACAATACATGAACATGTTCTTATCCATACAAACACAAGTCACATTTTCTTCAAGAAATGGACCATAACCATTTGTACATGCTCCGCAAGTTTTTATTAGAAACTCATTGTCATGCTTTGGCATTGTTAAATTTATGTGACTCACCTCAACATCACTTTAAGAGGTCAAATGTACCAATTGTACTACCACTTTGTATTCCTTTATTTTGATGGAGGATTTACAAAACTTTTCAAATTGGGTTGCACCAACAACAATGTGCCCAATAACTTCTCATACCACTTTGATGGATAAAAATTACCTTTAACAATTATCTTCACATTTGAAGGACCATCTAAAGAAATAATGTGTCCAATAACCTTTTATACCACTTTAATGGACAAAATTATCTTCACATTTGAAGGAACATCTTAAGAACCCATAATGTTCTTCCTTTTAATTACCACAATGATGACCATTAACATTTTACCACACCCATATTCATACATTCAACCACTTATCATTTTTCAGACATATTATGCACTGCTACCGCATTCACATAAGAGAATGAAGCAAATCAATTGGACAAGTTTCATGACTTTTATCAAGAGCATATTAATTTACTCAGTCATCATTACATCGTCATTATATAACATTGGGACTTGAATCCAACGTCTTACCCATAAGAAGGCATTTTAGGTCATTATTTGTTGAGACCCAACCCAACATTTTATTATCATGATGCACCGGGACTCTCACCCGATGTATTATCCTCTTGGTGCGATAGGACTTGAATCCTTCGTCTTACCCTCAATCAATGACATAATATGCCAAATAAAATAGGACTCACCATTGAGCGTTAAAAAAATAGTCACTTTGTGATTAACATGCACAAATAAATATAGAACAAAAGAAACACAATTAAATTATTCTCAACAAAGTATGTACTAATATCTTAAACTTGTCAAAACATAGAGTTACACATAGCAATATATTATATTATGTTTGGTGCACAATAATTAAGCTAGTGAATTACCATTATAGATCAAAGAATCAATTGCACACTAAGAAAATAATAATTTTAATTACACTAAAATAAAAATGCTCACTACCACCACTCTTTTTTCAATTTCCATGTGAACCCAAAATATTTCACACACAAAACAAAATAAATTTAAAAACTTATGTAATAACCAAAACAGTGAGCATAATCATAAATGAAATATAAAATAAGTTTCACATACAAAAGAAAGTATATATAGTCATAGGTGAAAAAAAAATGCACAGTAACAATAATATTAATCATTCACCTTGTTCACAAGTAAAATATAAAATAGATTCCACTATAATCTACCGTGTTCCCGAGAGAAAAATAAACACAATTATTTTACCTTCTTTTATTTACCTTGCTTCAATCCTGCAAAGTGCAATAGTAGAACAATCGTGTTATAAAACTTAAGAACAAAAGAACAATATAAAGATGAAGACAAGAAGAATATAAGACAAGATGAACAATATAAGATAACTTGCTTTCTTTCAAGTGTTTATCAAATCTTCAAGTGTGTACAATATGAACCCTTATGCCTCTATTTATAGTGTAACATATAGGCATACAAAAGGTTAGTCATAAACATGACATTAAACATGAATATAATGGAGGAGGTTATGGAGGTGAAATGTTACAAGAATAATGATCATAAAGGTGGAGGTTATCTTCATAATGGAGGAGGTTATGTAGTAACTTCTTGGTGTAGTGGACATCCAAACTATATTATTTTATAACAGTAAGTTTATTATGATAATTTATTAATCTCCAAGAGACATCCCAAAAATGGTTAATAGGTCAATCCTCTTTAAAGTAGAAATAGCGTTCACTGATCATTCATTGATACACATTTCTATATTCTAACTTTAATGTTAATTAACCATTTAGTGGCATACACTTGTACATTCTGATTTTTATTATACCAGCAAAGCGAAAAGAACAAATTAAATTATTGAAACTAGTAATTCACCATGGATACGGCGTAAATTGAAATTGAAAAAAAAACATATCGAATAATCATATCAAGCATAAAGCTTATGTTAAAAGACATGTATCATATATTTTATTTTATAGATTGTTTTCAAGATGAATGTCACATTCAAAAGAGCCAACATATGAAGTCTTTAATTACGAAGATATGTTTGGTTTAGATTCCTTGTGAAGATTTCGTTTATCTTTGATGTGGAATATGGCAAATTTTCTTTTCTTCTTCTTTTTTTCTTTATTTGGGATGAACTTGCTTAGATATGCTGTGGCTAAATTGTACCAAGCCTAACTTGCTTTATTCTCCATACTTTTTAGACCAAAAATGCTAAAATTTCACCCTTCTAGCTCCCTAAATCCTAGTTATGTGTTGATTCAATTTATAAGAATTCAAAAGAAAATAATAGAGAGAAGTATTGAAAATATTCCTAAATTCGGCGCGAATTATTAAAAACAATCATTTACTTGACTAATCAAACTTAAATATACACTTATGATCTTGTAACATGAATGAAATATACCCCTAAATTCTCGCCAAGTTTACAGGTGTTTTCAACACTTCTCTCAATTTTTTATCAAGAGCTCCATGCTCCTTTAAGAGTTTGAGACCACTTGTTATGTCATGTGGCAGATCGGGAGTGTATCTAAGTTTAGTTAGTCAAGTAGATGAGTGTTTTTAAGACTGTCAATAGTTCGGGACAAAACTAATAAATTATGTCCAATTCAGAAGTGTTTTCAATATTTCTCTAAAAATAGTATCCCCTATGTTCCAATTTATGTGACATTTTTCATTTTTCGAGAGTCAAACAGTTTAAGTTTGGCTGGGAATTTGCGCATGAAATCTTCAAAAAAAAATTAAATGAAATCTATATATTTGTAAACTAGGTAAAAAGTACTATAAGTCACAATAATTGAAAATTCAAAATATTTAAAAGATATATGAAAATTTATGGTCAAAGATATACTTGTTTGAATCTCGAAATGCGAAAAATTCCATATAAATTGAGACAGAGGGAATAATAGAGTTTTCACTTTTTTTCTCTCTTCACTTGTTGATATCTAATTACACCAACACTATCATATTTATAAGGTATGATATTTAACAGAAAAATGTTTGTATAATAACTAGCAGGATGGTGACACTTAGCTAATTGCTATACCCAACTCTTCTTCTTGTTATTAATACTTAAATTAAAGCTTCAACTTTGAACATAGGATTGACCAAAATCTCATGACAACTTGTAGTATATTAGTGCCTAGTGGGATCTTTAATCTTCCTCCACTAGTCATAAAGAAAAGTTGGGACATTTTTTTCCCCTTAAACAATGGAAAGCCAATGGTTTTGTCTATTATTGAATTTAAGTGATTCTATTGAAAATCATGGGTGGTGGTGCCTTCCTCTCATAATTCTACAATGCTTCTTTCCTCATTAAGAATCTTTGTAGGCAGAATAGTGAAAAAGTGACATTGAAGCTCCCACATAGACGGTAGAGAGTACATGGTACTTGTAAAAATAGATATTTATAATGCTTGTTATTTTAGAAAATCAAGACATAATTAGTTGTTTGCTTCCACTTTTATCCTTAGTCATAAAAATGGAAAGATATCGTTAAAAATGACTCATATATACTCTTCATGGTTACACAAATAACTTACGTATATCATTTTTTTCTCTAACGGAAGTGAAAAAAAATCAATTTTGAATTTAGTTCTTAAATTTTTTATGAAAACAAGACATTCATATAGGGGTATATTTAATCTTTCCCACATGTATTTTGTTGACTTTTTTTATTCAACGTCTAATTTGAATTTATTATTTTGATTGTCAAATTTATTTTTTTATTAACTTTCTTGTAAAATTATCATATATGCCCTAATTTTTATTTTTTACAAATACAAAAATAAATTACAATACATACGGAAGAAAATAATTTTAAATTTTTTTCTTACTTTTTTCTTTTTTCTATTCACGCTTCTTTTAAAAAAATAAAAATCTCATATTTTTACACTAAAGAATTAAAGAAAAAATAAAATAAAATAAGAATAAGAAACATAAATATTGATAATCAAAGAAGTAAAAAAACCATGTGTGGAAAGGATCATATACCCGTACATGAATTCTTTAAGAATTAAAGTCGGGAAAATAAATTTAAAATTATTTTTCAATTCCATTAGATAAAAGAATATATGTGAACCATTTTTATAACAGTAGAGATATATATGAGTCATTTTTATAAAGAAAGAAGTATATATGAACCATTTTTATAACTAGGGGTATATCAACTTTAAATAACTAAGTTGAAAGATATACTAAACCCTTTTTCCAAGAGATATTAATATGATGCAAAAGAGAAAAAGTTCAAATAGAGTGGATAATAAATAATGATAATTTAGTCAAATTATCTTCTAATTAATGTAAATCTTAAGGAGCGTGCAAAATATAGCATGACAAATATTTCAGAACGGAGGGAGTAGCTCCTTTTGAAAAGCAACAAGAGGAACAAAAAGACTAAAGGGCACAATTTTCAAACACAAGACCCCACTTTGCTTCCATTATGTTATACTCCAATAAGTATAGGTTATACAAAGAGAACTTTCCATATTAACAGTACACAAACTGCCCACTGAATTTACAAAAGACATTATTATTATGTCAATAGTCTACATCTTAAGTTAATAGTGTGTCTCTATAGGGATTAGTTGTCATAGATTTTGGCAAACTCTAGAGTTTTTTTCCCTTGAAGTTTGTTTGTTACATAGTGCATGCTGTACTCTCCATGATTGTACCTTTTATACTTGCAAGGGTTATTTTCATCAACCAATTCTGCCAATGGTCCTAACTCAATTTCATAACTTGGTGCATAAAATGTCACAATAGATAGTCTATCTTTTTCTTGATGTGTCACTGCTCTGTGCTCCACACTTTTGTATCTCCCATTGGTTAGAACCTGTGGTAAACGAATACAAAGATCAAAGGCTTTATTATTCAGTAGTCATCGCACGTTTAGAAATATAAGCTATTAGCACAATATACATAACAAGTGCACACCTCAATGGTATCACCAATGTTGATAACAAGTGCATTTGGAATTGGTTGGACAGGTACCCAAACATTGTCTTTAAGTATTTGTAGGCCAACTGAGCTGCTGCATTTACCCTGTTGCAACACTGTCAGTGCACTTCCATCTGAGTGGGGACTTAATCCCAAAACAAGATCTGGTCTAGGACATGCTGGATAGTAGTTCATCCTCACTGCTTGTACAGCTACTCCAAACATTTCTTCAAAAATATCCTCATTCAATCCAAGACTCATTGCTATGTACTTTAACAAATTCTTGCATAGTTTCCTTATCTCTCTCGAGTATATGTCCACCGTTTCACTGCAAAAAGAGCGAAAACTGAGCATCTATTCAAGGGTGTGACTAAAATATTCCAATAGATGCACACAACGGTAATCGCTAGATGATTTCCTAAGACTTTATTTCATTACAGAGTTACTCAGTATATGTGCTGATGAGAGTATACAGTCAGGTGTGCGCAAATTGACCGGACACCACCATAACAAGAAAAATGAACTTTTCTTGTTTAAAACTAGTAGTCAATCTAAGGTGGTCCCTACAAATTTACACTTGCTAATCCGACAGTTGTATTTTTCAATACTTTTTTCTGTAGCTGAAGTTTAAGGTTACCTGAAATCAAGTGGCTTAGTTGGCCAGAGTTTTGGGTTCCTAATGAAATGAGGTTCCACACCAAGAGCAAACATGTTACACCAGTCAAGTTTTTGATCTTCTGAGAAGACAAAAGCTTGACCATAACCTTGAACTGTTCCAGGAGCCATTGGATATTTCTGTTTCTCCTCTAAAGGTAACATGAAGAACTCCATAGATATTTTCTCCATCTTTTCAAGCAAGTCCAAGTCAATCCCATGGTTAATCACCTATAAGCAATGATAAAAAGGAACAAAATTAGAAACCCTATAGTATTTTGCTATGTTGTTCGGACTCTTCAAAAATGTCATCAGATGCGTGTCGGATCCTTCAAAACTAGTGCATTTTAGGAGGATCCGACACAAGTGCGGCAACATTTTTGGAGAGTCCGAGCAACTTAGGTATTTTGTAATCAGTATGTTGTAAACACAAGTAACATACCTGAAAGAATCCCCACTCTTCACAAGAAGTAGAAAGCTTCATGATTTCATTATGAAAATCCTGGCTATTCGAGATTTTCGACAAATCAACAACAGGAATGTTAAGATTACAGGAAGATGGAGTAGTAACTGTGGCAAGTTTTGGTCTTTCTATCATGTCTCTTACAAATCTTTCAGGAATAGAAGATGGTTTAATCTTTTTCAGTTCTTGAACATCATCAATGTGACCAACTTTAACAGGAAAACTTGGCACTGGAGCCATTTTCTAACACTACAACTTTGTTTTTTTTTGGGAAAAATGGAGGCTTTTTCTAGTCTAGATTGTAGAAGTCTATGCTTTGTTAGGCATACAATTCAGAAATATGCCAAGTACTTATAGAGGGTAAAGAGTGTGCATCTCTATATTATTGTGTGGGTCCTTAACTGATGCACTTTAATAAATTCTCAGTCATGCAAGTTCTATAACAGCTCACACACAAATCTATAATTGTTTGCATTTACATCCAATCACCAACCACCAATATGGATCATAACATCAGCATCTTGAGTTTTGAGTACAGTTCTTTCCTAATATAAGAGTTATTTTTGTCTTTTCTTTCTTTCTTAGCTACTTTTTTCTGTAAATATATTCAAAAAGTTCTTAAAAACGCATTGCACCTAGGTAAATAAGGAACGAGATGAATATAGAGGCTAAACGAGCATCCCACACACTGGTTTCCCCGATACCATCAGTAATTAAGGAAAAACAACGTTGAAGAGAGCACCTATGTTTGCACCAGTTCCAGAAAAGCAAAGAAAAAAGGGATGATATGTTCATAAGAAACAAAGAAGTGTTTATATCCGTGATGATATAAGCAAGAATACTCATCCGAGCCACAGGAAAATGTACATACAAAATTCACACCTTGCTGAAAATCTAATGGTGCTACCCGAACGACTTAAATGAAATAGCCATCATTGTTAAGAATAACTAAGAACCAATGAGAATTTGTGCGTAGCTTCTGGTCTTTGACATCAAAAAAGAAGGTTGTAATAGCGAAAAGGACATGTAAGAATTTGGTTTAGCTAATGGAATAAGAAAGACATGTATCTGTATTCAATATGCAATCAAAGAATTTCTCCCCAAAAGAGAAAAATTCATTTTGCTTTCTTTTTCCTCTGCTCGTGCATGGTGTTCAACCAATCGTCTCACAGTCAAGAAGGCTTATACCATTATGCTCACGAGCGTAATCTTAGCTTGAGTCTACCTTCACATACCTCTATTACTATTTAGGAGGCATACATCCTAGATAAACTACCCACCTAGCAGTATACTGCCTCCAAATGATTGGTGTGACGGTTAGGCATTTCAGACGAAAGAGTGGTCTTTCAAGATTGGTCCTTATATGTCACCACCTCCAACCTCTCACACATTCGATTAGTTGAGGTTGTCACTGTCATGCTATAAGGTAAGGTCTAGAGGGTCTTACTGTCTAGTCAACGGTACTCTACATCTTTAAGCAGAACTCAACTTCACCGTGTCCATGTTAAAAACAGCGAGACAATCGCTACACCATTCAGTTCATGACAAGACAAATTAGGCTCCCTATTCCCTACCACTCCAAAAGAAAAAGAAATGTGCTTGGCTGCAAAAGATATCAGTTTGGTAGCTGTCATAATAGTACAATATGGCTGTCTGTTAAGACTTTTAAGAGTGACCAACTTTGATGCATCTCTGATGCTATTGTGTAGGACCCCTAACTAATAAATTCTCAGTCATGCAAATTCTATATTTTTTAGAAATGTTCACATACAAATGTATAATTGATTGCCTTTCCATCCAATCACCAACCTTCAATATGGATCATAATTCATAGCATCAGCATCCTGTGTTCTGAATACAATTCTGAGTTGTTTTTGTCCTTTCTTCCCTTTTTTGCTACTTCTTTTAAATATCTTTGGGAAAATTGAATAGTGTATTAGTTTCACTGATCAAAGCAAAATATTTCCACTCCTCTGTTAAGTTGCATTAAGGGTGAACTCAAACAAATAAGATTGACTTGTCTAAAGATAACTTTTCAAGTTTAACTAACCAAAGTTCACCGGCTTTGACTAATTAGAATTCACGTTGTCTACCAAACGGTTCTCTATTCCCAATACTCGAACCCAAAATATATGTGGAGAGATCCGAACCATCCTATCCAGACCCGCAATGATTGTGGAAAGAATTGTCTAATTCACAATGTCAAGACAAAATATCAGGCTCCAAAAGAAGTAGAAAATAGTCTTGGCTGCAAAAGAAATCAGTTTGGCAGTTGTCAAGGGGTAAAGAACTGAAACTGGATGTAATTGTTGGTAGTTGGTAAGAGTCTGATTTTATTGTGTGAGGTCCCTAACTGATGCACTTTAATAAAATTGAGTTTCTGTAATTAGCAAGAAATCTATAATTGCTTAATCCTAGTCCCTACTTGCCTCACTCAAAAAGAAGTAAAAGACAGTTGGTAATTACTTCTACATTTACTGATGGGAGGCAGTAGGCAGCAGAAACTGGAATTGAATGTAATACTAGTAGGGGCCATACTGTTATTACAAGTTGATGTCTCCCATTTGTGCAGACCAAATCTAGTGACTTTTTAATCTCCCCCACCCCCCTTTTCTCAAGACACCTTTAACCCATACCAAATTTTGCCCAACTTCAAAAGTAAATGTATCCTTTTAAACATGGTAAGAGTGTAGGGTAAGTGGAGTGGGGTTGGGTGGCTTTTTGGAAATGAGGAAGAAAGAGGAGAAGAAAAAGGTGTAAAATTGGATTTGAAAGATACATTTGACCAAATTGAGTTAATGAGTTTCTTCCTTTCAGACAAAGCATGCTATTCTTTACATTTTCTTCCATACATACTTTTTTGTCCCAATAAGGAAAAAACAACAGTTGTTGATTTGAGAATCTGTTCTTTTTTCTTTTGGTCTTTGATGACTAGGAGAATATTATTTTCACCTTGTGCTAGTAGCAGATTTTACAGACTACTGGGGGGATTGATTTGGGGTTCACTTCATAGTGATCAAGTATTTTTACAAGTTCCCAAAATCCAAACATGTGAGTTATACCTCTGCTTTCCAGCACTTAAAAAGTTCATATTAAACAGGCCAATCAAAAGAATAGCATTGACAGGAAAAAGGAAAAAGAAATATCAGAATTTTTTTTAAACTAAAATTCCTGATGTTAATCGAATTACAGACGTTTACGAACGTGCAAAAGCTACGATTACAAAACTAAAACTAAAATCAAGCAGTCTGACATATGCTACAAGTTAACATCCAGTTGTGACCCAACTTCGATCTGGATGTCGCATCTCCATAATGGGGGGAATGTCAAATTGTCTGACATGTTATTGACCGATGAAACAGTTGCATCTTCAAGGGAAAAAAAGGGCCTCTATAGACCATCCCCCAGCCATAACAGAGCCACAAAGTGTTGTACTAACACTAAAATATGCAGATACGCGATGAATTCCTGCAGAAATTCTTTTTTTCTCCTCGCCTTGACAAGCAAAGAGCAGCATAGCAATATGCTCCAGCATGACTCAGTTGACATGTGCTAGTCATAAAAGTGACATCTCCTTTAAACACAGCAGATAAGTTGACAAGAATCCTTCTCTTCTAAATTTGAGACTCTGCACCAGGTCAGCTCCAGTAAGCCCAAGTAAACTCTCATGCAAAGAAGCTGCCTTTTATTGGTTCCTCAAATATAAAATCAGCTGGCAGAATATACTCCGTTACTCATGTTAAAGTACATACCTGAAGCAGTAAATCAGCAGTTTCCTGTCCACCTTACAGTTTATCATCCCCTCCACAGTATCATTCACTATCTTGGACACTGTAATATGACGACTACATCAACAGGAAGTGAACAGAATATAATAGTCTCACCAATCATCCTATTTCTATTACCGTATCTGCCCAATACTACTACATGCCACAAAGAACTCACTTCAAAAATGATTCTCCAAAACCATTTCACAAGCAAAGCCATATTTATAGTCATGCAGATTCCCAGTGCACAGACACTTAAAGAGCAACCACAACGTCAACTTTTACAAGGTAAATATCTGGGGTTATAACTATCACCATTCCAACTACCTTGGAGCTTCTTATCTTTCCTCCACATAACCGGGCATTAGAACAAGGACATCATAGAAATAAGCAAGTTTGACAGACTAGAGTTGACAGGAGTGATCTAACCCCACCCCCTCTTCCGACAAATATTGTCATCCAAGATGGATTTATTTTCACAACACTACAGGAAAAAACTGTTGTGCAGATAACTATATTATTTTTTTTTTGAAACTTAAAACTGTTGTGCAGATATATCAGTGGTTGAGCAGAAAATGCTGCATTGCATAATTTTATCAGTACTTGAGTAAAATATGCCTAACCATCAACTCGTTCATAGAAGGTTATCAGTTAGTGAACACCAAAATTCTCTCGTTTTCCCTCGAAACTGAAGGCTCAAATGGAATATCAAAACTAGATCAAATCCAAAAACAAAAGCTACTGAGAGATTGATATATAACATTGGGGAAAGAGCTTTATTTATCCTGTGAATGAAGTACCACAGATCAGCCTCCTGGCAAACATTTTAGGTGGCAAGATAGGGGAACTTCCCACCACCTATCTTGGCATGCCTTTGGGAGCAAAGAGTAAATCTTTGAGCATCTAGAACTCTGTGGTAGAAAAATGTGAAAGGAAGTTGGTTAACTGGAAAAGTCAATACTTGTCCTCGGGTGGTAGAGTCACACTTATCAACAGTGTTCTTGATGCCATGCCAACCTATATGATGTCCCTTTTTCCTATGCCTGGGAAGATCATTCAGAGGCTGGACACAATCAGAAGAAATTTTCTTTGGCAAGGTAATGGGGAAGGGGTCAAGAAATTTCACTTGGTCAAGTGGGATGCTGTTATTTCCAACAAAAAAGAGGGAGGTCTGGGAATTAAGAATTTGAAAGCCCACAATAAGAGCCTTCTGCTAAAATGGCTCTGGAGACTAGCAACAGATGATCAGAGCTTATGGAAGGACACTATCTTTGCAAGATATGGAAAGGAAGGATCATGGACTACTAAGGAGGTCAATACTCCTTATGGTGTGGGTCTATGGAGAACTATTAGAAATCAGTGGCCAAGAATTTGGAACAACTCTGTGATTAATGTGGGAAATGGGAGGAAAACCTTGTTCTGGAATGATACATGGATGGGACAAACACCTTTGAGACAGCAGTTCCCAGACATTTATATTCTCAATCAGCAGAAAATGGCTACAATTGTAGAAGTCAGAAATGAACAAGGATGGAACCTGATTTTTAGAAGGTTCCTCAATGACTGGGAAGTGGAGAGAATGACTCAGTTCTATAATACCTTGGAACAAGCCAAGAACCTCACTTGTGAGGAAGACAAATTGACATGGAAGCTGGAGAAAGATGGCAAGTTCAAGGTGAAATCAGCCTACAAATTACTAGACACTTCAACTGAAACAAAGGAGTTGTGGCCTTGGAAGATGATCTGGAAAGGGAAAATACCACATAAGGTGGCTTACTTCACATGGCTTGTTGCAAGACAATCTGTTCTGACTCAGGATAACTTAATGAAAAGAGGAAAGGACTTATGCTCCAGATGTTTTTTTTGTGAATCTGAGACAGAGACAATAAACCATCTCTTTTTGCATTGTAAAGTGACTGAGAAGCTATGGAAGTATTTCATTAACCGAAGAGGTATCACATGGACCCAGAAGTCCTAGCATGTTGGAATAGAGATGGAAATCAGTCAGGACACAAGGAGAGATGGAAGATTGTCCCTGCCTGCATCTGGTGGACAATATGGAGTGAGAGAAATCAGAGATGTTTTGAGAACAAGAGCATCCCTTTCCAAAGCATTAAAATGAATTGTTTAGTGACCTTTTACTTTTGGTGTATCCATTCTATTCCCAAGGATCCGGGGGACATCACCCTATTCTTAGATAGTTTATGAGGGAGATAGGTGTTTAGTTTCTTTTTGGTAAACCCTCTATACTTTTGATGTAATTACTACAGGAGTTCACTATTGGTGTACTTCTATGTTTATAATACCAGTTAACTTTCTCAAAAAAAAAAAAGATTGATATATAACAAACTACCATCCCTAACTTCTATTCTCAAATGCTTAAAACAGTTTTGACTAGGCATATTGATCTGTTTTAAATTTGTTGCATCAAGAATAATTAGACAAGGAACTCATTCTCAAAAAAAAAATAATTAGACAAGGAACAAGAGTTACTAAGACAACTACACATAGCCACTGGACATCTCAATACACCACTATCAAGTCAGAAATATAACTATAGGTACCTTTTTAAATAAAAAAATAAAATCTGAACTTGGTCCGGATTGGACCAATTATATATAATAAAAAACAAAGTTACAAAGACTGAAAGACAACAAAATTAAGCCCAATATGGCTATAGGTACCTGAATAAAATTATCACGCATTTGGTGTGAACCTTCTGGAAAAAAAAAATCCCTTTTCAAAAATAATGCATTTGCAGTCAGTCATCGGTGAAGCAAGCTTTTACTGGCACGCAACACAGATTCAATTGTTTATTGTTATCTAAGCAGGCAACAAACTTGAAACACAACATCTAGTGAAAAGAGTAAAGGACCACATATAATAGACTTACCTGGCATGCCTTTCTGGAACACAAGGAGCAACCAGGTTTGACTGTGTCTCAGGAGGAACATATTTCCCAATTCATTTACTGTACTAAACAGATTTTCTGTTGCAATTTCCCCACAATAAGATCAGTTGAAAAGAAATTCAAGTTTAATCTTCATAAATCCTAACAAAGGAAAGGTAATATGGCACAACTTACAGCAATACTTCAAGTTCTTCTGCAGCACGTTCTTTTAAGATCAACAGATCTAACGGATACCAAGCTGTCAAAAAAAATGACCCACACACCCAACTTTCTTGGCTCATTTAGAAAAGAGATCAAAAGCTGATAAGATGATTACAGGCGTGCAGAATTAAGTGATTAACTCCATGTTTTCCAATCCTTTCTTTAACAAACCAAAAGATGCAATTCTGTAACGATCTCCTCCCCTCTTTTTTTCTTTTCTTTTTCTCTTTTTTCGGCAGATTCTTTAGTAATATGCCAAGTACATAGAACAAATTTGTGAGGCAGAATCAGTGACTTTTTTCTATATATTTTCACCAGATAAAAAAATTTAAAGAGAAAGGAGTAAAAAGAAATAATGGCGGATAACATAGTAATTCCACTAAGTTCCTCCACCAAAATTGTGCCTTATGTTCCATTAGGAAAAATGAAGTTATATACGGCAACCTAAGGATCCAAGTCCTCTAGTAAAGGATGAAACATTGGGACTACATTGAAACTCATGTCTACTTAGATATGTCAACTAATGTTCTCAATATCCGAACTCCTATTTTGCTCTATTCCCAACCAAAAGAACCTAATATTCAAAATTGGATCTCAAGTGAACTCTGAATCTTTTCCTTGAAGAGTTGAAACTTTATACACCTCATCCCCAACCTGTAAATTTTAAGGTTGAGCATCTGTGCCCTTATCATATACCAAAAAGTTGAATTCTCAAAATTTCATGAAATAGCAAATCAATCCCACTTTGTACACATGTACAGGAATATAACACACTTAACAGCATGCCTCTTCACCAAATTGCAACGCAGGTCCTCACTTCCTTCCCATATCCAAGGGCCTGCTTGTGAATGGAGAACCACATAAATTACATGGTTGATTTAACCTCGACTGCCACCGAAACCATTATGGTTAATTGCCTCGATAGCTTGCCTCACCAAACGTATTAGCTCCTCTACATCCTGAAAACTGAAGTCAATAACCCGTTTAACTGAAACGAAAGCGTCCTTATTCTCTGCCTCTCCAACGTTTGTGGCAGCTGCAAAAGCAATCTGTGCTTTTCTAGATGCCTCCATTGCAGAATTTACATCCTTTGTCTGCAAAATTTTACATCATTTTAATTGCTTAACCTACAGAAATGGGTAGCTAACACAAAAAAAATACAAGAACTTAAATCAAAGGAAGAAATCCCTTGACTCCTCCAGTATTCAGCAGTCATTTGACGTACAAAAGGAAAAAGAACCCTTGAATATCCAACAAAACTGTGAACTAGTACAGATATGTCTGAAATCATAAACCAGTCCACTTACAAAGTCAAGCAGGCGAACAAGACTAGGACGGTTTCGAGGAGCAATAACATGATTTCCAGAATGAGAACCACTGCCTTTTGATAAAACAGTCTTCTCTGCCACTGTTAGATTGTTTGTGTTATCAACATCAGATGCGGAAGATGAAGGAGATTCACCTGAATAAAACGTGTGGGTTAAACATGACGCAACTGCATACCATCGAGAATATCTGAAGCAGAATCACATTATACACACTAGATACGCTAAAATATATCCAAATTCAAGTAGAAATTCACGTGAATGAGATTCGCCTGAATAGAAGTATGGACTAACATGATGCGACAACTACACATTATCGAGAATTTTTGGACCAGAATCACATTATAATCACAGAGATTCTAGAGCATATTCTTGCAAGTGGGAAAATCATGCAAAAGCTAACAGTCCTCCATTAAAACAAAGCTAGACTGCTATAAACCATGATCCAGAGATACATAGATATGTTAATCAAGGCGACAAAAAATAGCCAAAGACACTCTATTCATACAATTCCTTTCTCCTTTTAATTATTTTTTCCTGCAGCTTCCGAATTGTGGCTAAACATTCTTTGCAAATCAGTTTTTTTAATCACAATAATGCCCACTGCCAAGCACGGACAAAATAACTAAAATAGGACAAACCCCAAGATCTCATGCTTGAAGACTTCATTATACAACAGAATTTTCAATCAATGAGATTGCTTCAAAAATCCTAACATCCATTGCCCCCTCTCCTCTGTGTCTCACTTACACATACGCATCTCTTTATGCATAGTGCATCTGCATGAATCAAGACCTGTTCTTTAAGACTGAGAAATCCACTATTTCCATCTTCAGAATTTGGTGGGTGAGGCCTGCCCCTCTATCCTTTTCTACTCAAACATCAGACTTGGTCCACCAACTAAGATTACTCATGATGTGCGTCTACCACACATCTTGCGATGTACTACCTCTACCGCTAAACAAAGCCTTGGGCATGTGAGAATCAAGAAGGTTAAATTAGGATGTCTTATATTCCCCACTTTGGAATTGTTTACCGCTGAAAATAATTGGAAAAATATGAAGGTTGAATTACAAAATCAGTAGGCCTATTGAACTTCTTATGCTTTTGGTCCAGATCTCTCTTGTGGCTTAAGTGATGAAAAACATACATCAATCTGATTTCTCAGGGCAGAGAGGGGGTGGTTATCTGTTTTAACCACATCTCTGCTAAACTAAAATCCTTTTCAAATCAAAATCACATTCCATCTATAGCTAATGGTGTTTCTTTGAATGTGGGATATAAAACAACAAAAGAAAAGAAAGAGGACTACTAAGTGTATCATAGTATTTGTTCATTTTTAGGTGATGCTTATATGATTATGCTAACTGCTGCAAATTTGATGGCGGCAAGACAAGAAACTCTGAAGTTCAACACTTCATGACAACAACATACCTAGAGGGGGAACTTGCAAATTTGCATGCAGATCATGCCAAATTCTACTTGAACTCATACTTTTGCAGTTTACCACCCTCATGTATGCAACCTCCATACACTTATAGGCCAAAGCAGCAGTGGCAGTTTCATCATGCTTCTCGTATTCAAGTGCACAAGCTCTGCAACATTATAAGTATATATTACACAGCCAGAGAAAGAACAGCCATCAAACAAGAAGTAACTAGATAGTTGAAACTAATCAGACTTGCTTAACCATATATAGAAAAATTTACACAGAATATTCAACTTTATCTTCCATAAACCAGTTTCTATGCAGAAAAGAGTCATGCCAATATCTGAACATTAGGATATTCAGCAGCACTCCACAGGAAGCACTCCACAGGAAGCACTCCACAGGAAAACAATTGATTAAATGAACAGAAGGTTCTAATAAGTAACAACTTGGTAAGGCAGAGGTTCTTTATAAAACGGTATGGCCTTGAGCCAAACAGTAAACCAAGAGACAAACCATCAGTTACAGATTTGAGGAGCCGCGAGTTTGGAAATTTTCCCAACAGAGAAGATGTTAAATAAGTGCTTACGAAAAGGTATATTTAACGGATGTGTACAGTTGAAGCTATTAAAAATATTTAACGGATGTGTACAGTTGAAGCTATTAAAAATTATTGAAGCTAGTTAAAATTGTACATATTCAATTGTTGAAGCTATTTAACGGATATGTACAATTGAAGCTATTAAAAATTGTACATATTCAATGGATATGTAGAGATTGAAGTTACACTTACTCGCAAAGTTTGGCTGCGTTACTATAGATTTGTATTTGATTCATCTCCCCAGATTTGCTACTTTCCCCATTTGAGCTTTCTAAATGTGAAGCACCCTGAAGAAACAGTAATGCCGCTTGGAAATAGCCATGATTATAGTCAGCATGAAATCCAGAGTTCTGCAAGTAGCTTCAACAATTAGGAAACAAACTGCACACATAGGTATACAAGGAGAATGACTCCTTATTTCTTCAGTATAAACTCAACTAGATAACAAAGCAGAAAAGAAACTAGCTTTAGAAAATAGACCAGTAACAAGTTCCACTTGAGCTATAGTTGAAAAGAGATATTAGTAGAACCTTAAGACGATCAGCAGTATCTCTAAGCTTTTCAGCTTCTGTCAAGATAATAGAAGCAGTCTGACTGGAGGACTCTCTTTTTGAGGGGGTAGGAGCACTGGGTTCCTGCACTGCGCAATGATCAGACTCCAACCGGCCCATGCTGTTGTGACTCGCATTTTGACACACACCAATGCCAGGATCTTTTAGCATAGTTGACACTCTGGCACTTACAGAAGAATTAGCGATCCCTACATTTTTAAAACTTCCTTTCTGGGCACCTGAAGCAGATTTGCTCTTAATAACTGATGTGCCTAATTGATCTTCAGCATATACACCAACTTGTGACCTTAGGTCCCTGGATTCTGTCTGAATTGATCTACCATTTGTTGCAAATCGAGTATCACTTTCCTGATGAAGTTTTTCCTTTGTAAGAACTTTTCCTTCCAAGTCACATACACTATTCAACTTTGTGGTTGACCCAACACCATCATGCTTCAATCGGAGCTCTCTACTGCTGTCACTACAATGTGTGGGATCTTTCTTGCTGACTTTCTGATTGTTTTTGAAAGATTTAGTACTAGAGTCAAGATTATTAGGGTCAATCTTTGAATTCAGGACTTCCTTGCTGCCCAGTTGATCAGATATGTTCTCTTCTACCCTTTGAGTATTAAATCCAGTATTCCAGTCTTTCTCCTTATTTTGCAAAGGAGGATCTTTGGCAGATTTATGTTCGTTAAGCACAGAAACGTGTTTCTTGCTCAATCTACCCTTGCCATCAGAGCAATATGCAGCACGCTTTTCAGTCATGTAAGGGCCACATTGCTCCAGAACATCAACATTATTATTACACATATGGCTATTTCCAAAGTCGGAAGAATGTATACCACATGATTCAATTTTTTCCCTGGCATCATTACCCTGAAAATCTAGCACAAAATTTTCATAAACCTCCGAATGAGGAACACCTGGTCTTTTCCCCTTTATCAAGACCCTACATTTATCACTCTCAAAATCGCCATCCCTATCCAAATATTTTCTTGGACTTCCAATGTCATCCAATTTAGCATCATCTTTCCCTGAACTCTCCATTCTTGCAGGTGAAGCCTTACTCATGTTGAGCATCCTCATGGGAGATGAGGAAACAGACCCTACAGGAGAGCCTTTCACTTGGTGATTCACTCTACGTTTCCGGGAATCAGAAACTTTTGACGAGCTTGAAGTGGCAGCCATTGGTAACTGTTCAGATCCCAAGTCCTTTTTCAATGAATCAATATCTTCCATCGTCAACCGAGACTGAACCTTCACTCGGTACTTCTTTGTCTGATGTTCTCTCTCTACACTTCTATCTATAGGAAAATCCCTGGTTCCTGGTAGAACAATTCTGGTAACTGCACCTCTTGTTCTTGATGATTTCTCCTCACCCTTGCTTGTACTGGGCTCCTTTTTTTCAGAATGAAACACCTTGGGTTTCTTCTGTTTTCTGAAACCACTCTCACCACTAACCTCCCCCACAATTGCATTGCCATCGCTGTCACCCAAGAGATTATCTTTACTTTGTGAATTCATTAAATTGTCTTGATCCCTCAATTTTCTTTTCTTTATAGAAATTTCTCTTCCAATATTAGTTTTTACATCAATCGAGCCACTATCCCTTGAATCCTGGACTCGATTACCATGCTTCTTTTCCAATATTTGTAACCTTTCTGTCAATCCAGGCTTTGTATCCTTTAAATTGCCACGTTCATGGTAGTCCTGGGTACCAGTCACAACTTCCCTAGTTGCCACAAAAGCTTGGTCACTTTTGATTTTTAACTTTTTCAAATCCCTGCGATCATATTGATCGGACTCCCTTTTGGATTTCCTTTTTTGCTTTTCATCACCTGATATGTTATAATTGGAAGCAAGTTAAAAATATATACAGAGGTATGACAGGCAGGAAAGAAATGCTAGCCTGAAGATGAATGGTATACCATTAGCCATGCGCTCCGTCAGTTTGTTCAAATGTTTGCCAAGGACATCAGACGACTTAACTGGAATCTGTGCATTGGATTTGCTAATTGAATTTGATTCAGCAACAGGTTGGTTCACATTCTTAAAACTTCTGCTTTTGACCAGCTCAGATTGCAAGTTTGAGTTTGTGGTCAACATTGGACCATGATTGCTGCTTGTGTTCGGTGTTTCTCTTAATTTATATTTCTTCTTTCTTCCATTAGCCATGTAATCGAAACCCACGTTCTGACTGCTACCACCGAGACCATGCATATCAGCTGAAACCACTCCTGCCGCACTTCTACCAGCATGATTTTGAAGGCTATTTAGGTTATCAGGCAGGGGCATTTGGTACAAGGCATGCAGAGCTCTTGTAGTCTCCTCCTCACTAATGTCACAACGGTTCATTCCAGGCCTACAAAAGTTAATTTTGATTTGTCATCACCAAATTATAGCAATACAGAATCTATTTACAAAGATGCATAACTAGGCAGAGTATTGGAGCATACATACACACTAATAAAAGAGAGCTAAGACTTTGAATAAAACACGAAAAGAGACTAAGTTCTGAAAACTGCAGAAAACTTACAGCCAGTATAACATACTGCACATCCACCTCTCAGGCAGTTGCTCAGGTTTTGTACCATATGGAAGAAGACGCCACTTCTCACATTTATCACAGGCAACCCAATCTTCTTCAATAAAGACAGGAGCAACTGGTGGCTCAGCTCCAGAGGTCAGCTCTTTCACACCCTGTATGCCCATGGCTGAAGGATCCTTCATAGGGGTCGCACATGCCACAAGACTATCAGCTCTTTTGCATGGGACCTGTCTTGATTTAGAAGAAGATGAATGCCGTCCTTTACGTGCCTCCAGTTTAGATTTCTTCAACTTATCACCTGGAGGTCTACCCAGTTGATTTGTGGGTTTTTTCAACTGTGCATCAAATACATGAGCCACCCGTACATCCTTCATAGAACTCTTCTTGTTCTTGAAGGTAGTAGAAACCCCTCTTACCTCTGCCGCATCTGCAGCAGGCTTCAAACCAGGTTGATGTTCTGTTAATTTCTTTTTGCCTTCAGATGACTGCTTCTCAGTGTGAGGTATCCTAGGTTGGTCAAGTTTATGGCTTGCAGCTTGCATAACAGCTTTCTTTCTCAGAGAGACAGCCCCACTAGAATCCCTCTCACTCTCAGATATATCAGAATCAGCTCTAAATGAAGGAACTGATCTGCTGCATTTGCTCATGCCACCTTCCTTGATATCAAAAGAAGCATTTTTCTGAAAGCTTTCTAACTGGAGTTCCACCGATCTACTTCTTACTTCCTGGTGATCATATTTGTCACCACTTAGGTCAGATAATGATTCTAACGAGTCATCCTTATCCAAATCACTACCAAACAGTTGATCTTTAAGTCTATTGATCTCCCTTTTCTTCAGAGGAACTTCCTTCTCTGAGGCTTTTATAGCTTCAGGTGCACCACCAGCACCTTTCACTGATTCATGAGTATCACATACTAAATCATGTACGACTCTCTGATTAAGGTCATTTGTGAAGCAATGCCTGTTTTTCAAGCTCTCAATTCCCGAGTTTTTCTTTAACAAGGACATTGTGTCATTTCTGACCTCTGAATTCAGTTCCTCAACATATCCACTTAAACCAACTGATTTACTTTTCTTCCTGATCAAGACATCTCCATCTTCCAGCCTGGAAGTTGAACTATTGGCAGACATGACAGATTGAGGGTTAGTACCCTTTGCAGCAGCCACATGCTCATTCTCTGCGAAAAGTTTTTCATTTCTTGACAGAGTCAAAAACTTCTCATGGAGAGGTGAAAGCAGCACACTTCCAGCAACTGGGAAAGAAGTCATAGTCTGTTACAAAGGGGGGGGAAAAGAAATTAAAATAGCACCAGATACTGTTCTCTTCTTTTTTTTTGCTGTGAAAAAAAGAGGGATTTTTATGTAACAGAAAAGCCTACCTGAAGGATGTTGGCTGGAGAATCACTATGACTTTCTTGAACCTTGGCCAACATCTCACCACTCTCAGTAGGACTATTTTCCATCGATGAAGAGGGAGAGATAAGTCCAAGACTAGTGTGCAAAGCAGTACTCTTCTGAGCTGTCTTATCAGAACCAACTCTAATCCGAAGTTTGAGTGTTCTCTGATCAGTTGGATTAAGTGACTTAATCATAGAAACTTCATGTTTTGCAGGGAACTTATTAGATTCTTGAGCAGATGAATCTTGTCTTGTGGAATCACCCCCACAAGGAACCCTTGAATCATTTAAGGTATGACCACCACAGGAAGCAGCTGTACCATTCCTCCTAGTCGAAGGAAGACCAGACACAGACATTGAGTTCTGAAGAGATCCCTGGACAGAAATGCAACCACCAAACAGAAGTTAAACTAAATTTTCCCAGGTTGATAAAAGGGATGGACAAAATGTTATTTCCTCCAAGTATTCAACAAAAGACAAACTTTTAACAGACCTCGGAGGCGAATTGGCTGGGCGATCTTGATGTGCCTTGATTTTGAGATTTCTGTGGAGTTCTTGGCTGAGGTAGAATTGAAGGGGAGCGTTGATAAGTCGGTAAAAACGAACCATAACCACCAAATTTTGCCCCTAAAAAAAGTAAAAGAAATTTAATCAGCTATTCTCGAGATTTACAACTGTTATATATGATCAATAGGACTTGTTACCAGCCTACTTACCCAAATTCTCGGCAGAAACACCTCCTTCAAAATCTTTCTGAAAATGACCCAGGACACTTTGAAGTTTCTCATCCTTCACACAGAAAACAAACAGTTTTGAAAAATCAATGACAATAATGTCACATACACTTCAACCTCACTATTATTGCAGTGTGGGGGGGAGGCAGTCTGAAAGAGAATCTCTTGTTCTTTTTCTTTTCTTATTTTACACACTTCACTAAGCAGAAATGGTCCAAAGTTTCACCAGTATAACTTGAAAGCAACACTTTTAGCAGTGTTCCAATGATATTCATTTTCTCCAGTTCTATTCCCAAACCAAAAAAGTTCTTTCCTTTAAGGCAACCATAATTATTTACCTGATTAAGTACATTCTTTACAGAATCCTAGAACCATCTATAATCAATTTGAATTAGAAAAAGCCTAATCTTTAACCCAGAACAATGACAATGAAACCAGATTTTAACTATAAAAAAACAAACTCCAACTTCCTTAAGCATTTCATGAACTGATTCTCAAAAACATGAGGGTTTTGACGAGTCAAAAGTATTACTATTAGATTTTGAAAATGAATTCAACAAATAGGAGAAACAAAAAGAACTCTTACAATGTAAGAGAGTGCTATATCAGGGTCAAAGCTTGTATCATCATCATCCTTGTTGTAATAACATGCTTCCCCTTCTTCAAGGTCATGTTCTTCCATCATCTGAACCCTACTATTTCCCCAACTCATAAATATAACCTAACCCCAAATTTCAAACCTTTCAACACAAAACCCTAACCCTAGCCCCCCTTTTACCACCTATCCTAAAATCCAACATATCACTCACAATTCAAAAATCCAACTTCGACCCATTAAACTACTCACAAAACCCAGAAAAACCCAGAAAGGAATTGCACAGTTACCTATCCAACCTTCAAAATCAATAACTACCATTGAACTTCTTGATCATCTAGGTATATTCCTAGTTGTTTATCAAAAATTGGACCAGAAAAACACTTAAAAATTAATTTTTAAATACCCCAAAATGGATTTTAGAAGAATCAAATGTGTTGACAACCCCAGGAAACGAGCGATCGAATTGATTCTCAATATGATGTTCTTCTATTGTATGATACCACAGGGTATAGAGAAAGAAACAAAGGCTTTGTTTTTCTTTTATATTTTATTTCCTTTTTAGGTCCATTTCTCTAATTTTTCCGTCTTAATTCATCTATTTTATTTTATTTTATTTTATTTTTCACTCCAAAATTATTTTCTGACCAAGTAATGAAATTTCACAAAATTTAAAATGTGGGGGAAATAAAATCAAATTGGTCAAACCACTCTATGAGTGCAAAATCCAGCAAGGTGTCCAGAATCTACTACTACCATGTAAAAGCCAAACATTTCAATAAGAAAAATATGTTTTGTGCTAATAGGAAATATTATATCATATTTTATTAAAACAAAAAAAAATGCTAATCAAACAGAAAAGAACCTCACTTGCACATTAGTGTAGACTGTGGGGTAAAAAATTTAGCTCAGAATATGGTTTGATTTAATATCATAATTTTAGTTAGTAAATTTATTTATTTGAGTATTATATAAAAATTAAAAAATCACAATCACTTAATGATGATCTGAATAGATATGAATAATTAAAATGTTTTTGAAGTTGTCCAAATAAATTGAATACACATTCCAACTAAAAGAGAAAATGATGTAGGTATTAGTTTTGATATTATGAGTTTCTTGTTTGATATATTTTTTTAACTTATGTAGAACTAATACAAGTATTAATTATACATCATATTTGGTATTATCATATGGATAACTAACATATGGCAAACTATGGTATTAGCAATACATGAATTTTTAGTACAAGCATAAGGATGATTAAAGATACAATTGTCCTAGAAAGTGTACAAAGTTAAAGAATATGGAGCGTATTTTATAAAAATAAATAATATATAGCAATTATGCAATACATGTTATTAATACTTTCATAAACTCTTGAATAATTAGGGAGACAGAGACATTGTATAGGGAGATTTGGAGCACTTCGAGAGGTGTCATATTTAGGTATTATGGGTGTATAAAGGTGGAGAAGGGGTATTGTCCGTAGGATGTGCAGGGAAAGGGCAATCGGACCGAACAAGATTTTAGTGATATTCTGTAAGAGCACAAGTAAGCAGGTTTTGAGTGGTTGACCGGGTTGTTTAATGTTATTTTAAAGACGTTCAAAATATTCGAAAAATAAAAGTGGAGAACAATGATTTAGGTGTACAAAAATAAGCGTGACATTCAGAATTGCAACAGCTATAGAGGATCAAGTTATTGAACCATACTATGGAATTTGAGAGAAGATGGTAGAGATGAGGATACGGAATCACGTCTCTATTTTTCATAATGAGTTTATATTCATGTTCAACTTCATAAACCATTCATTTTTTAGGAGACTGATAAAGTAGTATGATGTTCATCAACCTAGAAAAGACATATGACAAAGTCCCACGAGAGGTTCTGTGGAGATATATGGAGGCTAAAGGTGTACATGTGAAATACACTGGGGCAATTATGGACTTGTATGATGAATTCTAGACTCAAGTAATGACAGTGGGGGGAAGACTCAAAGCACTTCCAATTGTGATAGGGTTGCATTGGGGGATCAACTTTAGCCAATTTTTATGTATCTTGGTGAAGAAGGCATTGACACAGCAAATTCAAGATGAGGTATCACAGTGTACATTATTTGTAGATGACATGTTCTAATTGATGAGACTTATGATGGAGTTAATGTTAAACTTGATGGAGACAGAAGTTGGAGTCTAAAGGGTTCAAGTTAAGCAAGACCAAGACATAATACTTAGAGTGCAAGTTCAAATGCATGAGGTTGACATGGAAGAGAAGCTTGATACACAAGTCATCCAAAAAAAAGAGGATTTTTCAAGTATCTTGAGTCTATTTTTCAAGGTAGCGAAGAGATTAGCGAAGATGGCACACATCATATTGGTGTAGAGGGTGATATGGAGGCTCGCTTTCATAATTTTGTAGTGATTAGAAGGTGTCAATAAAACATAAAGATGGGTTCTGCATTGTGGTGGTTAGAAGGTCAGTTATGTTGTATGTAGCAAAGTGTTGTCTAATTAAGAACTCTCATGGATGATGAAATTTGCGGAAATGAGGATGTACATATGAATGTGTAAGCTTACTAGCGGAGATATAATTAGAAATGAAGATATTTAGGACAATGTGAAAGTGGTCTTGGTGGAGGATAAGATGTGAAAAGTGGGACCTAGATAGTTTAGACATGTGAAGAGAAGATGCATGGATGCCCTTGTACGGAGGTGTGAGAGATTGACTATGGATGATTTTAGAATAGGCAGAGGTAGTCTGAAGAAGTATTAGAGATAAGTGAATGACATGACATGTCGTAGTTTTATCTATCAAGGACATGAGTTAAGGTAGGAGGCAACGAAGTCACGAAACAGAGTAGCAGGCTAGTAAGTAGTTGATAATTGTCCGATTTATTATTGCATACTAGTAGTCATGGTATTATTATTGTAGTTGTTTGTTCTTAGATTTTTGTTACTATTTGTGTTTCTTGTACTTCAATTTCTGTTACTATTTGTTGTTTCTTGTATTTTGATTATAGTATTATTATGTTGTAGTTATTGTTCCTTTTTCAGAATGTTCTATCATGTTATCTTTAGTATTTTGTCATGGTTTCTTTCCTTATATTTTTTCAAACTGCTTTGATATACATATTCTTGAGATAAGGGTTATCGAAAATAATTTTTCTATAAAGTCAAGGTCCACATATACAACCCTCTCTAAACCCCATTTGTGAAATTTCACTGAAATTCTTTATTTGATTTGATTTTAATGTTATTTTAATACATCAAATCACATTTCAGATAAAAAGATAACGCCAATATAACTAATCTCAACATAAACAATTTTGCATTATTAATTTCAACATTACTAATACACCCTGACAAATGACTCCTTAAAATGGTATTAATATCTCCCCAAAATGATAGAATACACATGTCATTTGCACATTTTTTTTAATGTTTTTCCTCTCCTTTTAATGTCATTCCTCCTAATGTCACTACCTTTTCTCTTCTCTCCTCTTTTTCTATTTTTGTAGTATTTTCTCTTTAACATAAGCTGAAAATTCTCTATTTTCCTACCAAAAGTGAAGAAAAGACAAAAACACTTGGTGTATGTTATCCTAAACTAGACAAGTCACACAATTCTCATAATGAAAAAGTAAATACATTTTTTCATATATGTGATTTCATATAACTTCTATTTAATTCATATAAACTAAAAAAATTATTACGGTTATAATCTACATATCTAAAATAGCAGTATAAAATGACTTGATTAACATTATTTTGAACCCATTCGATACTTTATTGCTAATAAATCACAATTTTAAATTTCTTCATAGATATCATCGATCAAAAAAATTCAACATATAATAGAATTAAAATGTTGTAACAAATTCTAAGTTGTTTGTTCTCAAATCAGTATTAATAGATCCTATTGGAGTAGTTCATAGACAAAATTAGTAAGAATTGATTACCTTTTTGGACTGTGAGATTCTCAGCCGGAAAAATTGAAGGTTGTGTTGGAAGTTTATTGGATCTGATGAGGATTACAAAAAAAATAAACGGAACAAAAAAATTAACAAAAGTTAGTATAAATAAATTAAAATTTGCTAATTTTGTGGCTTTCCGACCTGAAAATAGAGATTGTGGATGGCATAAATATGACGGGTTTGATAGAACATAGAGAAGAGAAACAACAAAAAGGGAAAATAAGAGAGAGAGAGAGAGAGAGAGAGAGAGAGAGAGAGAGAGAGAGAGAGAGGAGAGAGAGAGAGAGAGAGAGAGAGAGAGAGAGAGAGTAAGAAGAAAATAGATTTTTAATGTATAAGTATAATTAATTTTATATAATCTCCGATTGAAGATTAACACTTGTACAATTTAATCAGCTTTTATGTCTCTAAGACTTTTTCAAGAATTTGAACACACTTTTGTCGTCACGTCATTATACAGGGAGATATTAAGACCATTTTAAATTAGAATAGCGGGATAATAAGTATAACGATTCAATCCGTTGTTACTAAAGAATATCTTGTGCAGTATCTCAAAATTCTAGTAATATGGTGCCAAATTTAAAATTTTTGACCATAATGAATTGACTTATTTTGGAATGGTTGGGTTGGCTTCAGCCCGCCATAGCGAAAAGTCTCCACCTATGTAGGCGCCACTATAGCGCCTGAATGGCCCATATAGTGGGCTGACATAAATTCAGACCCTAGTAAATATGACTTTTTCTATTTTCCTCCAACTTTTGAATGGAGAAAATAGATGAGAGCTGCTCCAAAAATCCTCCAAAGGAACCCAGGGCATGAGAGAAAGGGGGAAGAGATTACTAGGAAAGGGAGGTGAAAATCTAAGGAACTCTAATGCGCATTCATCACGGTTTGCTCTCATGGAGTCGGAAGTTCATATCCAAGGTCCATCAGTTGATGCTTGGCGCCTAAGTAAACTAGATTTTCTTTAATTGAGTAGCTAGACCCTGTTACACTGTATTATATCTTGTAGATTTTCATAAACTGCATGTATAGACCTTCGGGCGCAAAGTCTAGATGGTTTGTGGTTAAGATGGTTGGTTGATAGTGATTGTTAGCTAATAGTGACTGACTGTTCTGTGGTATGCCTGAGTATTGCCTGAGAAGAGAATTGTGGGTAAGTTTACAATGGTAAGGAATTGGCTACAGGTGACCTTTCGGTAGGTGATAGTTTATGTATGTATGCAGGTTTACTCCTTTATAGTATCATTTGTGCAATGCATATCGGGAAAAACATAGGAAAAAATATAAAACATCATCATGTTGATAATCTCATGCAATGAACCTGTTAATGTTACTTGTTGTTTCAAGTGTTATTGTTCATTGTGAGTGTTGTTATGCATGATGGTTTGATTGATGGTTGGATTAACTACCACGTCATTACAAGAATACTGACTGTTGGCTTGTATACCATACCTAATATGATTACTAAAACTGGTTGCCTAAGATACCACACTAGTGCACTAACAATTTGTATGTGAACTCCAAAAAAAAGACCAAATATGTGTATTGTGATTCTATTG